CTACTAGAAAGAACCTAAAATCGAGTATGCTAAAATTAATCAAGATTGAAGGGAGAAGGAAATATTCTCTTATTTAAACTTATTGAGACAATTCGCCTAATTTTATTAGGGATTAGGTATCGATATTTTTAAATAATTGAATGTCCCTTAACTTTTCTAATCATATATAATTTGGATTAATTGGCTTAAGTTTATTTGGTCGAATCAAATTATTTTAATCTTGAATTCTTGGGAGAAATTATTATATTCTTTTTATTTCAATTGGAAAGATAAATATTCGTCCTAAAGTATTTTAGGGATTATTTTCTCTTCGATTGTAAATATTAGAATATTTTCTATTTCTCTTTAGAATTTTCCGTTAAATAAAAATTGCATGGTTGAATATGGAATAATAGGATCGTAACTTAAATTTATATTTGAATTCTTAGATTTCCACTATTAGAGACAATTTATAATCGATGGGGTATCAATTTTGGGCATTGTGGGGGTGCTCATCCTTCCCCATATATAATCGATCCCTGAACCCCTTTTATTAAAAAAATGAATCTCTGGTTACAAGTAGATTGGTGCATCTTTTAAAATGATGTTTTCTTAAAAATTCTTTTAAAAGAAAATTTTTAGGTATTCTACTTACCTAACCCAAAAGGTCGATGGTGACTCCTCACATTTCAAAACTTTAAAGAAAAACCCAATGGTGAAAAACGGTGTCGACCACAGTGCTACTTATGACACTATTCATGTTATTGTTCATAATGTTAAAAAATAGTAAGCATATCAATTATTATTTTGACAATAACAATAATAATTCAATACAATATTATTAACAATAATAAAAGACAATGCAATGTAGCAGTAAGTTAGTAATATTATGAGACAACACAATGTTGTAATAATAATAGGAGTAATATGATGATAAAACTCAGAATGAAAATTAAAAAAAAAATTATAACAGAACATGTGTTCATATATAGTTCAAAAATAGAAGAAGAATTCTGTTGAGACATGTATAAATAATTTTCTTAATACATATTCGACATTTTCTTGGTGCTTGAGTAACGTTAGACGTCTGTCTCTTAAGATATAACAACAAATGATTACATTAATAGCGCAACAACAATGATCAATCCAACATAATCTTATCTTTCTCTATCACCAGAAAGAATTTTTTATATTGGTTTTTTTGTATGATTGTGTTTTTGGAAGTCTCTCAACTTGCCTTTATACAATAGGGAGGAAATGAATGAAGAAATTAAATCTATTCACGAAAGGTTCGGTCAAAAGTTTAATAAATATAAATAAACAAACTTAAAAACTTATGAGTGAATTTGTAGATGCAAAAGTCCAGTGTGTGATGAAAACTTAAAACCTTATATATTTTGAATTTTTGTGTAGATATGAATAATAATATTTCAAGGGTTATAATTAATTTTTTAAATGATTCGATAAAATAAAATAAAAAAATTGAAAATAAAAAACAAAGAAAGAAAGATATAAGCGTAGTGTAAGTCGACTAGAGTTTGAAAGTCAAAGTTGTTTAGTTTTGCTATTCTCTCTTTCACTCAATCCGAAAATAAATAAATAAATAATTGAAAGAAGAAAAAATATAAACGAATTGGATATGACAATATTGTCTTAAGAATGTGTGATGAAACCGTAACCCTATAGAGATATTTCAATTTAGCAATCTCATTAAGATGGAAGGATGAATGAATAGGTTGATAGAGGAGAGTCCCTACTTAATCAAAGATGGAGTGGGAAATTGATTAAAATGGATTAGCAGAGCCCCTTGCATTGGGCCTGTGTTCCATTGAGCCTCGGGATTATTTTAACGTTAATTTGTTTATCTATTGTTTTCCTACACATATGTCCTTTACACTTAGTTTGACATTTCAATTCTATTGTTTATAATTCATTTGCCACAACTTTATTTGAGAATTAACTCCGATAATCTGACCGTATTACATTCATCTAATTCTTGTGGAGACGATTTTATTTCACTTTATTAATTGTTCGCCGTGTATACTTGCATGAATTGCATATCAATTGTATACCCAACAACCACCTAATCATGTTTAATAGGCAGAGAGCGTAGCATAAATTTTTGTGAACTAATTGTGCTTAAGAACCAAGAAGCATCAAGAATATGAAGCTTTCATTAGATAAATGTATGTTATCTAGCTTAATTGAACATAATAACTTGACAAGTTTCATGTTTTAATCCTAGAGGTTAGAATAAAACTTTGCATAAAGAAAGGAATAAAGAGAAGTAAAAGATATTGCCATGATATTCCGGGCCCATCATCATTGGGTAATAATGCAGGAAAAACTAATCTAAAGTTAATTCAATTCATTTGAATTTTAAATTTTTGTAACACAAACCCGTCATTTGAAATGAAAATTGACGATTGTTAACAGAAATTCATGGCACTAGTGGAAGTGTTAGTGCCAGACGAAGACAAATAAAGTAACAGTTGAGAATCACTGCAGATTTTAGAAGCTGAAAGTTGAGTGCAGGAATGGATTGAAGAGAGACGGGTGAGGCTTCAAAAAATTTTAAATTTTTATATTTTCTATTAATAATATATTTTCGTCCTCTCAAATTTTATAGGTTTGCGTTCCCTAACATAAAATTTTACGTCCGTCCTTAACTGATGAATGTTTGGGAATGACAAAACTTGCTTGTTCACTGATTTCAAAATGTAGCAACCAAAGTGAACACAGAGGATGGATGGTTATAAAATCTGCCAAAGCTGGAGATTTCGTGTGGGTAACTTTGAGAAAACATTAGTTATACTGTATTCTTTCACTGGTTTTTATTCGAAACCAATTTTCTCTTCTTTGCTTTGATGTTCTGTTGCTTCTGCCTACATTTTGGCAGGCTGCCACTTGATACTATTTGGCAGCAACATTTGTGTTGGTAAGAGCATTGTACATGTTTTTATAGTATAGCTTCAAGTATGCTTTGGTTCTTGTATTAAAGTGCGTGCTATAGTACATTTATCCAAAGAAGAAAAGAAAATAAACAGAAAACAGAAGAGGAGAAGGGAAAGTTGAAGTGTTGAATTACAAAGACTTGGTATGATTGTGACAAGTTATTCCTAGGGAATATATAATAAAGAAAAGATGATGTATTCCAATTTTATCAAACAGATTAAAGTTGGCTTCTGTTTTTTAGCTTTATTTCGCTGTGTTCCATAGACTCTCTTGGAAACCTGCTGCTTATGCCAAATACAAACTTATCGGCTTTCAAAAATGACAAATCTCTTGGTTTAACAAACATGTCACCACATGCATCTAGTTTTCTGTTTTGTTCACAAGCATGTTTGGGTTTTGTGTCGAAAATCTTAGTTGTTTCTGAGATGCCTGAAATTATGTTCAATGTGGCAGCTTAGTTGGAAGGTTCCAACTTCCAAGGGCATCTGTGTTAGTTATTTATGGATAAGATTCCCCAAAACAAATAATTGCCCAAACATTGGATACTTGCATTACAGCTGACGGTATGGAGACTTATTTCAATTAAATTTTTGGAAATAGAAATAAAAAATACAAGAAAAAATACAAGAAAAAATTCTAAAATATATGAATATTTAAAATTTTATTCTACTTGCTACCTCTCGATCCAACTCTTCACACAATAGTGGTTTCCCCCCTCCCAAACTTGAGATATTAAATTTCTCTAAAATTTGAAATATTATTATTTATACCCTTGAATTATTTTAAAATTTAATCTGACTCTCAAATTTAAAAAAAAATTATATTAAATTTCAAAAATAAATTTAATTAAGTCCCCTAAAAAATTAAAAGTCCTCTTTAAATATTATTTTTATAAAATTAGATATACCCCATTTTTTCTAAAAAAACAAATCCTTTAAAAAAATTTAAAAAGAGCTAATTTAGAAATCTAAATTTATTTAACATTTAAAGTAAGTCCCCAAAATTTTTCCTTATATCCTCCCCTGATCAAAAAACTTTTTCATCAAGAATTTAACACAAGTACATTCTCAAGATTTTAGGTTCAAAACTTGAATTAAACACAATCAATCCATGTCAATTGATCCAACCGCTTGATAGTAAATAAATAATTTATTCATTCATATAATCCAATAATAACTTTAAAATAATATGTTTCTTATACTTAATACTTTACACTATAAAGATTTTATTTTAGGCTTAAATCAATGTTTTCCCACTATAAAGACTAATTATTTATTCTCAATACTTAGTTTGGAATTTTATTGCCATTATTTTTTTCTCTTTTTGTGCAATATAGCCAAATAAGTACTTTCAAGTAAGTGAACACAGAAAGATATATATATATATATATATATATTTGGTTTAATATAAAAATGCCTATTTAGGTGTCTAAAATTTTAGATGTTAAAACCTCATGTCCAAGCTGCTTTGCTAAAATGGCCCCAGTTGCACTTTTTAAATAGTGAAAAAGAAGTTGCAAATTTTCAAACCATGTAAGCGGGTCTTATGGCCTTGGGATTTGCTTGCTTCCAAAAGATTCCCTGTCATGCCCTAAGGTTCCAACCCATATTTAGTTATGAAGCAATTCAAAGAAATTACTGACCCTAATTACCAAGATAATAGAGGCTAAATATAGGGGTACATTCAAGAACAAATGATCACTTACCAGTCACGTTGGTTGGTGCAAGTGCAACTAAACAATGTGTTGTCGAATTCAAAAAATCCATGGAAAACACAAAAGGCAACAGTCTTCCTAATCTGCAAAGTGGATGGCAATGCTTTAAATAACTTGAATGTGGAGTGGCAAATTGGTAATCAAGACACTTTATAACTCCATATGAGAACATGGTTTAGGATTCCCCTACATCAAATATTAAAAATGGTGGTTGGTCTTTCTTCTTCCTTAAGCTCCATGAAGATCAAAAGTCTAATCCAAACCCTTGTCTATGCTCATGTTTGTCGTCTCATCCGAGCATTATCAAAAAAAAAAGTATACTTTCCTTCAGATTTGTAATGAAAACAAGCCTATGCGACATTTGATTTCCAACTCAAGGACCACGAAAAACAAGCACAAGAAGCTCTTCTTTGGTTCATTTAGGCTACACTATAACTGGTGCTCTTCCCATGTTACACCGGTTCCGGCTCCAGTACTCGAAGGCTGCACCGCCACTCATTCGTACTATGATTCAGTGATTCCAGGTGAGCAATATGAGGAGGATACTGTGGAGTCTGAGCTTTCAGGTTACCTTCAATGGCTAGAAGAAAAGAAGGCTAATGGGAATTTCACGGCCGAGACAGATCTCAATGAGATTGATAAGCTAGCAGAAATGTTTATAGCCAATTGTCATGAAAAGTTTAGGTTGGAGAAGCAAGAGTCTTACAGGAGATTCCAGCAAATGATGGCTAGAAGCATGTGAAGTTTTTCTTCTTCTTAAGTATTACTTCATAATCTTCTTTGTTTTGCTAGCCTAAGCTTCTTTGTATGTGATTTTCTTTCCACTTTCATGATCATGTACAATTAGGGGGAATAATCATAACAAATTCAGTGAAAATTTCCAGATTTTTATGCAGGAAGATGAATGTTCTTTCCTGTAGCTATGGCCAAAAGAAATTTACTATATGATGGAAAGATCAGCGTAGATGCGTATCCAATTTGTTTAATATATTAGGTTAATTTGGGATCAGTAGCTTCAACGTTGGTTAAAGTTGTCGAGTTGCACACTTCCACCAATGTAATTAACCCAAGTTTTTCAACCCAACATGTATATATATATATATTGGCCAACCTGTGTAAGAACAGTGAACATCTGAAAGCTATGATTTAACCAGATCCGAAGCATGTCATTTCGGTGCTCCAATTATTGATTCACCGATTTTTTTCATGGCAAGTGTACTAGTTCATGATTTCCTGGTCATCAAAACTAGGTTAGCACCAGCTAATATGACACCAGTCATGGAGTATATCACTTTATTGACTTATAAACCACGCCTTCTCGGTATTTGTGCTAATCATTTTGTTTAGGAAAGGTTTCGTTCGAAAACAATTGTTCCAGCGACCCACAGGTGAATCCTCATATTACATTTGTTTATAAAAAATATTACATTTGTTGATAAAAAATTGTGGTTCTAGCCTACAGTTTATTTTCTATGATTTAGATAAAGAATCAAGATCGATTCTTCTGACAAGTTGAAGATTATATGTTATATAAAGAGAGATAAAGAGAATGAGATTTTAAAAAAAAAAAAAATTCTGATCATGTATGATGACTTATATTGATCCTTATTGTTGGTATCCAGGATCATCATAGCTCATAGATTTAGTTGTTACATAACAGATTTAACTTTAATAGTTTACTTGAATCAGGTAATGATAATGTCAAAAAGACTATAACCATCTAGAGAACATAAACTTGGAAAACATCTTGAAATTCCAGAGACCTCCGCAAAGAATCAGAAAACTAATAATAATAAATACAATTTATGAAAAGAATCAGAAAGATGTATTCTAGATTTCATACCAAGTTTTAAAGATTTGGTAAACATAGTATTTTTAAATATGATGATAAAGTGAAAGCGATGGAGAAAGCCCAATTTCCTAAAGAATAACACATTATTTGATCTTTCCAATGAACATATGGCGTATAATGGTCCTTGTTCTAATTCCTTTATGCCTAATTTTTACGAGGTCAAAGCAGATTGGAGGATCTTTTCAAAACAATAATATGAAGTACCCCCAAAGTAAGGCAAAGTAAAGCAAAACATTTTTGTTTTGAACTTACTCCAATTCATAAATATGGAATGATGATGTTGATGAATCTCATATATGATCAAAAGCACATGGTCATGGTCATGGCATGAAGCTGGTGGGACATAAAGTACCCATTCACATAATCAAAACACACATCTTTATTAACTTAATTTTCAATATATAAATCAACACTTTTTGGAATAAGTGATAAGAAGTTTAATGTTTAAAGTCTCAAATTTAAATGTAGTAAATGATATTTTTTAATTTAAGATCAGATTCGATTTTAAAATACTTGATATTCTATGATAAGATGATTCTTCATAGGAGTAAAGCTGAGATAGAAGCAAGATGTATCATTTTTTTTAATCTCTTGGTGTGTTTCTTTATATCATTCTAAATTTCTACAGAGTTTTATATAAAATATCAATATAATCATTGAACCCGATCAAAGTCTCTCATTGTCAGTTTCTGTTCACCACTATCATCGGCGACTATTGTACACCGAATTTTCCAATTTACTCATTCTTTACTTCTTAAATGCAAATCTAATATTCGTTTCATTGAAAAGTATATTGAATTCTCCAAATTTGATGTCTGCTCCCTCTTAGACCTGATGAACTATGGCCTAAGCATCAAAATGGCAAACTTAAATGTCTCAAACAAAAACTTTCATCTAAATGCAGACCTCGAGATTAATCACAAGGACAAATGGAAGCTTTTTTTCTGGAATCTGACTGAAAATGAAAAATACCAGTTAGGTCATAACTCATACGCTGTTTTTCAATTATACAAATTCACGCACAAGAGCCAAAATATTTGCAAAATTAGCTTGTTCCAGTTTAATAGAGAATATCAAAAAGGTGTCATTTATCTGTAGAGCATAAATGCTCCCATATACAAAGATGGAAGAAACTTGTTGAGTTTATAGTGCTTGTCTCCTTATGTTTTCCAATATAGATTTCCTCTTTGGTTTTCACATACAAGTAATTGCAAATATTGTTGATGCTGACTGCCATACTGATAATTGCATCCCATTTGAACTAGCTATTCTTAGGGATCTCATGCTACTGCACTTCCCAACTGAATTATAAATGGGAACTTGATTTTGTTTCTTTTTCATCATTCATACTGCCTTAAGCTGTTTTGGTTAACCTATGTTTGCATTTTGGAGCATTCAGTTCGAGTCCTGAGTTCTACTGCCCTTCCGATAACTCTTCTGTACTAACTGCCAAATCTGTTTCTTCTTCTACGGCATACTTGTTGTATAACCCTGGATAACAAATTAAGCATCTCTGCAGTCTGTAAAATGAATTCCGAGACAATGTCTGCTTTACCAGTGTGAACAGCAGCATGCAATTTAAACATTCTTGCATTGTGAACAGCAGCATGCAATTTAAACATTCTTGCATTGTGAACAGCAGCATGCATTTTAAACATTCTTCCATGGTGAACAAGAGGATATTCAATCTTCTTAAGGAGGTTATGTCAGTTGAGAAGCATGGCTTGTTAGTCATAAATGCTCTCTCAGCAACACCCTGACCTGTCAACAAGTGATGCTCCGAGCAAGCTTCATGAAAACCCCAGAATGGCGACAACCCCCTTTACATTGCTGCATACAAGGAACCCAAGTCTGAGCCAGATGTAATTTGTGCAACTCGCAAGCACACCTTAAAACTTCTTTGATCTCTGGCCGCCGGGATCGACCAGCTACATGATGGCGAATGAGAGATTTTTTGGTTGAATTCAAAAATTAAATTGATATTTTATCTAAAATTCATGGACCAAATTAAAAATTACTCTTTTAATAATATGACACGTTATTATCTCAATGTATTATACATTATAAATCGGTAAAATAATTAATTAAAACATTATTTTCTAAAAATTGATGATAAAAAACTAAACAAAAATAACACGAAAGTGATATTTTAATAGTTTACCCCTAATAAGATTATATATTAGATTTCCATATAATTTGTAAGAAATCAAGAGTTTACCTTGATATAATGAAAACAAACTTAAAAGATTATGCTAGTTCTTAAGGGATTAGTTTCCACTAGTCCTTTTTTAGTAATCCTAGTTCTTCAGGAACTAGTTTTCTTGTAATATTTTATTAATATTGAAACGTGTCCTTATATAAGACACATACACATGAACATTCAACAATACAATGTACCATAGTGTATATATATATATATATGAACTTCATTAATAGAGGAAGAGTAAATCATTTCATAATACCATGTACATGAATCTCATAAAGCATACTCAATACTCTTATTATGCAACATATAAACGAATCAATTTGAAGGTATTCATATAGTTGTAATTTTATCTGAAATCAAATTAGATTCACCAAGACTGCAAACGTAGGTTAACAAATATTATCTAACTGTTTTTCTTTTTCATGTCAAAATTATTACATTGAGATTTAGCTAATGTCTATTATCTAATTGTTTGCATTCGGTGCACAAGACTCACAGTTAATCCATAATTTTTCTTTCTTTTGCATTCGGAACTGGCAGAAGAGCTTGAAACTGCATGAAAATCATAAACCATCTGCCTATAAATTGTCGCAGTGTACCGTCAAGATCTTAATCACCTTGTAAACAGTACAGCTGACGAATGTTTCCGGAAGCTGCCATGTTATTACAAAAACAAAATCCAAGTAAACACATTTTCTCTTCGCATCATGCAATAAAGGTTAAGAAACAATGGCTATGACAGTTACAGTTGGTAAACACAAGACACAAATGGTGGATTACCGTATAACCAGTCCTTGAAGTACACATGAAGGGCCGATGATAGCTCTCTTTTGCGATTTTCTTCGAGCGGAGCTTCTCTCAATATTTTCTTTATCTCACCCAAATTCTGTTGCTGTCAATAACATCAGAAAGAAAACAAAATTTCAGTTAAGTCGATATTAGATAGATCAATAAAACTAGCTACTAATTCAAAATACACAGGTCAAAACTGCTTAGGCCGAGTGCCTTTACATTTCTTTGTTGAGATGTCAAGTATGCATCAGGTAAGGGGAAAGGATTATCCTTTGTCAACCCTGTGGACTCGCCTTCAAACCAGTTTGGAATCTGCGTATTAAGAACTGCTAATGTCAGCACAAGACCAAATATAGATAGGAAATACAGAATAGATGCATTAACATACAAGCTAAGCTATTGTATACACAAGCATACCAGAAAGTTTGAACTGATCAGAATCCAAGTGTGCAGCTGACTCAGCCTGAGCATCAGAAACACTGCAGGATGAGATAATGAATCATGCGGATCAACAGCTCCAAGTGCCAAAGGTTCACCCATATTATAGTGGCTTTAATGCCAAACTTCATCCCCACACGTAACCGACTCCCGAACCTGTTTTAAATGAATCTTTGGTAACGTAGATCAAATTTTTGTCTTATAAAACTATTTTTCTTAAAATTGTTTTTAAAAGATGTTTTTAGGTATTCGACCTACCTAACCCAAAGGTCGATGGCGACTCATTTTCAATTTAATTTTAATTAATCCATAATCACCATTTTTTTTAATTAAAGTCATAATCGTTTTTAAAATAATATTTAATTGTTTACAAAAAGTTATAACAGCTTGGCGACTCTGCTGGGGACCTTTTTTAGAGAGTCAAGCTGTAGGTCGCTTACACATTGTCGTCTTAGTGGAAATTATAAGTTTGAGTACATAGTTAACTTATGATCCGTTTATTGAAATTTTTAATTGCTTCGTTTTTTGTCATACTAACATTTATTTTTGGCTTTCAGCTTTGTCAAGATTTTATCATTTTTTTCCTTGTTTTGTTTTCCTTTTGGGTCGAAGGTAGGTATGTTCCTCCTCACACATCACTCGCATTAGCATAACATAAGCTCTAGACTCGAGCTTCGATCCAAATTAGTCGGGTGAATGCTTTACTCTCGTAAGAATTTATTCTTCGTATGAGTTTTAGCAAATAACCCATGGGATACATACCTTATACTTCGTAGGGATTTATTCCTCGTACGGGTATAAGGCAATGAATCCCCTCGAATTGAACTCGTTCCGTTCGAAACCTGTAATGGGTGAGGATAGAGGGTTTGGCAGCCCAATGGGCACCGACATCAAGGACAATTCGAGTCCCTTTTTCCCGTTAGAGCCAAACCATGCATATAGTGAACCGTAAACGGTCACCCTAGGTATAGCTATATCGAACCTATGTCCTCAGTAGGTACCCAAACTAAGTGTACACCAAGGAGGAGCGTTTCTAAACCCTTATCTTTTGCTAAGTTCGTAGAATTTATTTCTTTTCGAATAAAAGTATGCGAACTAGATATCATGCGGTTAGGACTAATTTCTTGAAAATAGATAATTGTGGGTAGAAAGCATGTCCGGGTAGGATTGCTATCTATTGAAGGCATGTTCGGGTAGATATCATGACGGGGTAGGTGTTATATTTATCTCTGAATAACATTTTTATCTGTATCAATTATTTTACATGTACTAACTAATTTCTTTTCTTTTATTTGCGTGCACTAACTTATCTATTTTCTGCTATTTGTGTTTTTTTTTCATTCTTCTTTGCATTGCATCATCATAACAAATGCGAAAATGTTGATCGCAAGGGATATTCGAGAAAAATTTTCACAAGAAGAGATGAAAGTTTCAATCAAGTAGTCGCATATACAGACATGCATTGAGGGCTAAAAGAAGTCCAGAATACAAGAATAAGACTCGCTCGAAGATAGTGCAGCATCCGATACTGAAATGATGATCAATTGAGCCAAAGAATACTCCAGTAGTAGATTTTCATTTACAATCATTTCATCTCTAGTCATCAAGGATTGACGCACTGACTTCCGCATCGTCGGGGCATTAACGGAGTCATATTACAGAAACGCTTGAGGGGCATCGTTTTCGAAGACGAAGATTCGAGACGAAGCAGCGATCTATTTCAGACTCAGCATCTAAGCGAATGCATGTCTGTAAAGTGGATTGTCTTGTGATGTGAAGGCTTTCATCACTGGTGAAAATTATTCTAAGATATTCATCGTTGGGATCAACATTTATGCATTTGCATTTGCATCATTTCATTTTGCACAACATTCATTTAAGCAGGTTTACATGCATTAATCGTACCTTACTGGAAACTTTGAGGAAGCACTTCTAACTGTGCAATTGCATTCACACAGTACTGAGAATGGATGCAAAATTTTAGGAATTAAAGAAAGAGTTGAACGAGAGTTTGCAAAAGATGCAAGTTGAGTGGGAGGTTAAAATGGAGCAGATGCAAAAGACCACTGTGGATCGTATCTTGCAAAATCAAAAAGACCTAGTTGGCCAAATGGTAACAAAATGGTTAGCTCAACCAAGGAAGAAGCAAAGAGAAGATTTCCTCGACCGGAGGAACCTCCGAATGTGTGATAGCCCACGCTAGTCCCCAAATAATTATTTCACCCCATAAGCTTCCAAGCCGCCAAATGAAAAAGAGTCAATAACGAGATCCCGGAGAATCTGAAACAGTGGTGAAGAAGACATTCCAGGGAATGAGAGGACAAAACTCTCACGACGGGATGGATGCAATAGAACTAGTGCTAGTTCCTGACCTGGTGCTCCCGCCCAATTCAAGATGCCTTTTGAAAAGTACGATGGAACCATTGCCCTAATGTCCATCTCACGATGTTTTATTCGAAGGATGACTGGATACACTAAAATGATTGGATGTTGATCCACTGCTTCCAAAACAGTCTGACTGGACCTACTTCTAGGTGGTATAACCAACTGAGTCGTGCTCAAGTCCGCTCTTGGAAAGATTTGGCTAGTACCTTTCTGAACCAATACAAGCACATATTGATATGATCCCTGATCGAATAATGCTGCAGAATATGGAGATGAGTGATGAGAGTTTCCGACAATATGCTCAACGATGGAGGGATATCGCATCTCAAGTGCATCCACCAATGACTGAAAGAGAGTTCATCACTCTATTCATAGATACATCCTTATATTGATTACATGATAGGGGTTGCCACTAAGAGTTTCTCTGACATCGTCATGTGTGGAGAAATGATTGAAAGAGCTATCAAGAATGGCCAGATATGTGGTACTAGCCTATTGACATTGAGGAAAGAGCTGAGGTCAGTCTAGTGGATTTAGCTAGTATGGACCGTGTCTCATAATGTTTTTCGTAAAAGACATGCATCAATCCAATTCCGATGACATATGAGGAATTGCTCCCAGTGCTAATTGAGAACAACCTGGTGATTCCAGTTCAATCCAAACCAAGAACTGACCCATATCCTGAAGGCCATGATATTAACGCCATAGCAGCTACCACATTGGATCTCAGGACATACCACTGAGAATTGTAGGGCGTTGAAGCACAAGGTCCAAGATCTGATTGATTCAGGGGGCATTGACGTTCAATGTATGACGAGACATTCTGATCGGGAGTCGGCTGGGGCATCCATCAGTAGATTTTAGTGCATTCTCATGCATGACATCTTGTTTGAATTTGTTTTTCTTTTGTTCTTCTTATGTTTTAAATGTTTGTAAATCACTTGACTTTTGAACAATTTCAATAAAATGCTTCTTCTTAGGAAATGAACAATGAGCAAATTTTAATCTTGAATTCTTTGAATATCATTTTAATTAAAGCATTTTAATAATTGAGGTTGTAAATCTTTGACAAATGACAAGATTGAACCCTTGAAAAATAAAGACCCTTTGATCCTAATCAATCATACATCAAAGCAAATACCCTTCCCTTGAAGGAACCAATCTAACCATCTCCTCGCATGAACAATCAACGATCTTGGCATTCAGGTATGTTAGGAGCGGACAAAATGGGGCACTAGCACATGAAATTGCAAAGCAAATTAGTTTTTACTTCTGTTAGTGACGTTCAATGATGATCATGATCTTCTCAGATGGAATGGTCAAGTAGGTGAATCTAGTTTAGGTCAATAAGCTGAGCTATTCCGCTAAAGCATTGGTTATAGAGGAAACTCGAAAACCCTGGCTTTATGAATAGATTACATTCAAACCATGACATTGATCGGGTACTTGGCAATCCGGTGTATGCTCCACTGTGGTTGTCAAGTCGAAGACTTTGTGACGACATGAAAATTCAGCTACCGAACAAAGGCAATTATAAAATAATATGTACAGTAAAGCTGAATTCAGCTAGCCAACAATGGTAAATCAAATCAAATTTACTAAAATAAGGAGTTTCGGTGAATATGGACTAAGGAGTTGAGGACACCTGTTATAGTCGAACTCACACGAGCACTCAGGAATCTTATTTTTAGACCGATATTTCTGCACTACCTTGACTAGGTGAACCTACGAAGCCTGAACAAATGAAAGATTTTAGAGAACTGAAATAGAAGTGTTCTAAAGAGTCTGCATTTGATTATGCTAGTTGTGTCATTTGTTCGCCTCTGATCAAAATGTCAAACCACGAAAAAGGACATACCACGATCTTCACGATGACCAAATAGAGGAAACACACCTTAGAATTTAGGTAGCCAACCTCTGAACCACCTGTCAATCTGGTATTTGTCAAAGATTTGTAACTATCAATGATTAAAATAGTATTGATTCTTTTGATATCCAATGAATTCATGTTTATGATTTGCTTCAATTGTGAAAATTATGAGGTAATATTTTCAAAATTTTGAAAATTCAAAAAACATTTTCAAACAAGATAAGTTATCCGGAAATATCTTGGAATTCAACAAATATATCTCCGAAGCTCAGAATCGAAGCTGGACAAGAGAAGCTATTTTGGGGCAAAATTTGATGGGCAAAGAAAACAAATTGTCTCGGGTCAAGGTTTGAAAGAGTACACCTGGTGGAAATGAAGACAACCGAATCAAAGATAGAGTGAAGACTGCTCTCGCAACCATTCTCCTTACAGATTGAAAAATACATCAATCATACATACATATACATACATCAACACATACATGCATGTTACATGATTTTGCATAGTTGATTAAACATTTATCATCAGGTGCATTAAAGACATTTTTTCTCTTGAGGACAACTTCAATAAAAAAATCAAATAAATTTCATCTTGACATCCATCGTAACATCCAATATAGTCAGTCAAAAATGCATCATTTTGATCTCTTAGGAAATCAAAGCTCGAAAATGACCATAGTCTCTAACTGGAAGAAACAATGACATCCACAGATGTGACTTCCTGAAGTCAACAATTA